TTAAAAAATAAAAAAAATGAATAAGGTTTACTTCATGATACATCATTCCTGAAAATTTCAAGTCAATCGACCCAAGCATCTCTGAGAAATCGTCTGCACAAAAATGTGTAAAGAAAAAAATAATAATAACTAGATACGATCTCGTTGTGAACAACGAGTGGGTCTCCCGTTCGATTCTTGATGAGATGAGATAAGATTTTGAATGAGATTTTCACTCTAAAGTAATGATTTTCCATAATCGGTAAAAAGACATTGAACAATAAAGACTTCTAAAATCGACTTTTGGCCCCTCACGGCCCCTAATATTAGGGATCAGCCCTTTTTCTTCAAAACATTTTAAAACTCTTAGGATTATGAACACTTTTTGTTCAACAACTATTCAGATATTCTTTTTCGTTTTTGAGTTATTCGCAAAAGAAATATTAAGGGACCAGCCCTTCAACTCCCTAATGGGGACGTTTAGCAAAAAATGAAAGGTTGCATATTGTTCAGAACATGATTTTGAACATCTTTTGTTCAACATTACTTGTCAAAATATTTCTCACTTTCGAGATACAAAGCATCAAAGATTTAGCCTTCTGGCCCCTTGTGGCCCCTTATTATGTAATGTACGACTTTAAAATCATAATATACAGTTGTAGATAGTTAAAATTAACATTTTTGCTTCATTGATGTATAACAAATTCTTGACTGTTAAAGAGTTATCGAAAAAAGACTTTAGCCCCTTTTGGCCCCTAATTTGAGTACCCAGCCCCTTTTCTTGGATTTCATTTAAAAGCTCTTAAGATTTTGAATACTTTTTGTTCAACAACTATTCAGAGATTCTTTTTTGTTTTCGAGTTATTTGCAAAAGAAATATTAAGGGGCCAACCCTTCAACTCCCTAATGGGGACGTTTAGCAAAAAATGAAAGGTTGCATATTGTTCAGAACATGATTTTGAACATCTTTTGTTCAATATTACTTGTCAAAATATTTCTCACTTTCGAGATATAAAGCGTCAAAGATCTAGCCTTCTGGCCCCTTGTGGCCCTTTATTATGTAATATACGATATTAAAATCCAAATATGCAGTTGTAGATTGTTTAAATAAACATTTTTGCTTCAGTAATGTATAACAAAATATTGACTGTTAAAGAGTTATCGAAAAAAGACTTTAAGCCCCTCTTGGCCCCTAATTTGAGTACCCAGCCCCTTTTTCTGGGTTTCATCTTAAAGCTCTCAGGATTTTGAACACTTTTTGTTCAACAACTATTCAGAGATTCTTTTTTGTTTTCGAGTAATTCGCAAAAGAAATATTAAGGGGCCAACCCTTCAACTCCCTAATGGGGACGTTTAGCAAAAAATGAAAGGTAGCATATTGTTCAGAACATGATTTTGAACATCTTTTGTTCAACATTACTTGTCAAAATATTTCTCACTTTCGAGATATAAAGCGTCAAAGATTTAGCCTTCTGGCCCCTTGTGGCCCCTTATTATGTAATGTACGACTTTAAAATTATAATAGACAGTTGTAGATAGTTAAAATAAACATTTTTGCTTCATTAATGTATAACAAATTCTTGACTGTTAAAGAGTTATCGAAAAAAGACTTTTAGCCCCTTTAGGCCCCTAATTTGAGTACCCAGCCCCTTTTCCTGGATTTCATTTTAAAGCTCTTAAGATTTTGAATACTTTTTGTTCAACAAATATTCAGAGATTCTTTTTTGTTTTCGAGTTATTTGCAAAAGAAATATTAAGGGGCCAACCCTTCAACTCCCTAATGGGGACGTTTAGCAAAAAATGAAAGGTTGCATATTGTTCAGAACATGATTTTGAACATCTTTTGTTCAATATTACTTGTCAAAATATTTCTCACTTTCGAGATATAAAGCGTCAAAGATTTATCATTTTGGCCCCTTGTGACCCCTAATTATGTACCATACTATATTAAAATCATAATATACCGTTGTAGATTGTTGAGATAAACATTTTTGCTTCATTAATGTATAACAAAATATTGACTATAAAATAGTAATCGAAAAAATACTTTTAGCCCCTTTTGGCCCTTAATTTGATGAGTCAGCACTTTTTTTACGAAATCATATGAAAGATCTTGTCATTCTGCACAAATATTGTTCAGTATGTTCTTACAAAATATTTATACTTTAAAAGATATGATGCAAAATGTCTCCAAAAATCACTCGTGATTCGTGTCCTAAATTTTGACCCCTACCGAGCTTCCATACTAGGTACTTCCGGAAACTATCCAAAACTCCCAGTAACATGGGGACATGTCCTCTATCATCACTGAAAATTTCAGCGCTCTAGCTCAAGTCGTTTCTGAGATCAATGACGGACAAGAAGGTCCGCTGAATTTTAATAAAAGGGCGATAACTCTAGACCGGAAGTGATTTTTAAAAAATCCAAAAAATGGTATAAATTTCAGATGATCCTGCATCAACCCTGAAAATTTGAAGCAAATCCATGGAGCCATCTCTGAGAAATCTTCTGCACAAAATTTGTGCAGAGAAAAAGAATAATAATAATAAGAAAATTGAAAAAGAAACATAAGAATAATAGAAGGGTCTTCCGCTGGAGACGGAAGACCCTAATAATAATAATAATAAGAAACCGAGTAAAAACAATATGTTCCCAAACTCCGTTTGGGGAACATAATTAGATGATGTGATAATACTGATACACACACTAAAGTGTTTGCCTCTAAATACACTCTGTTAATTCTGGATTGACCAGAGTGTTTTGTTGAAAAAAAAAACTTCATTTTCTATCCCAATTCGACCCCCAGAGTTTAAAGCAATATGAGCTGCATTTTTGAAAATTTTATTTGCTGTTAAAATGTTATTATGACAAATATGTATGTAACTTAAACCTTTATGATCAATTAGAATAAAATAAAGCAGAAGAGACATTCTATGTACAATCCAATATACGGTTTAATATAAGAAATCATTATTACACAGGACGACAATAATGCAATTTTGATTCAATCGAAGCTTATAAATAGTTCTTCCATCGCAAATATGAACAACAGAAGTTTTTTAATGTTATTTTTTTTCTGTCATTGAAATAGTTATATACAATTTTACAACAAAAATTTCCGACATCAAAGTTGCAGCTCATATTGCTTTAAATGAAACAGCTTCAGGAAAACACCATTCATATTCCAAATTATGATTTGGCTACTGCTAAAAAACAACGAAGTTTTATGGTAAACATGAAGACTTTAACTTTTCAGTCGTTAACTTCACTTAATTATGCAGCAAAATACCCTTGCCATTTGCATTAGGGGTTTATATCTGTTGATTCGACACGCAAGAGCATGTCCTACGTAACTATGAACAATTTCTAAAACGAAAAAGGTTACTGACAAACAAGTTGATAAAAAAAAAAAAAGAATATCAACAACTTAGTTTAAAGTAGGTCTTTTCGTTAGGTCTAATAGTCGATACATTGACCTTGTCAGCAAATACAATTTATCAATGTCAAATTCTGACTGACGTTTTTCATACTAAATGTTATTGGTCGGCCATTATTTACACAATGAATTGCTTACCATTTTCCAGTTATATCTTGCTCATAACAAGGAACACACGATGTCAGCAGGGGATGCTCACTCCTCCATTACACCGATCCCTTCGCTGATGTTTAAGAGGTCAGTGTTTGCTCTACTTCTGCTTTGTATTCAATTTGATTAAATGGACTTCTTTTGAGCTTGAATACTGTTATCTCTATATATTTCATGCAAGAAGAACCAATGTCTTCATTCCCATTCAAAATCTTACTGCACATCTTCAGTGCCCCGCCATTCATCTTCTAAAAGATAATTTGGCTATTGCGTAAACGTAACAGGAATTCTTGGAACCAAGTTTTTGGTAGTAAAAACGGCATTTTCGACTCCAATTTGATCCCTGGAATGATAATGCAAATCCAAAACCTTATTGCCTGTTTACAGGACCCCAGCAAAATAATTTGATGCCTGCATAAAATATAAGAGGTGTTCTGGGAACCAGAACAAAGTCAAGAACTTTTTTACCCTCACTTGGTCCCAATGGTAAAATTTAAAATTTCAAAACCCTGTTGAACATCTAGAGATCACCATCTATAATATTCCAAAAGGTTAATTGGTTGCAATTGCTTAAAATAAAAGGGGAGTCTGGGGAAGATGCTGTGTAAGACGGATGGACAATTTGGTGGACAAACCAGGGTAACAACAACATACCCATTATTTTCCTACAAAGACCTGGTTTCCTGACTTTTTCAGTATCCAGCTTTTCTTTTGGAATAGGATTAGAAGTTTCTTATATGTACAGCAAGTGTTTTGAATTACAATTTTCACTCTGATTAAAAAAAATGACCAAGGACAAAAAATACAAAAACCTTGTTCCCTGAACACACATCTCCCTTGTTTGGCAGTAACCAATTCAAATCAAGTAAAATCAAGTTTTGACCCCCATTTGGTGCCCATGGTGAAAAACCAAACACCGAAACAATATTGCATATAAACAAGATGCTACCAATAATATTTTTCCCTTTAAAGTAAAAACCAAGTTCCCTTAACTTCTCTTAATACCTTTTGCAAGTAGCAAAATAAATACTAGAGGACGTCTAGGTATGTCCTTTAGTTGTGTTGCTTTTGGAATTTTGATTTTTACCTTGGGGGCTTTTGGAGGTTAGAAATAACTTAATTTTAGATCAAGAATTATTGCTTCTTGTCTTGTTAACCAAATTGGAAGGTGACAACAATGGAGACAAACACTTAAGTGTGGGTTTTACCCTCTTGTGACGGCATCTAGTCTAATCTGTTGAAGAATTACAGAAACACAGACACTATTTTTGAGACATGAATTACCCAGTATTCATGCATACATTAAAATTCTTACCAGAATCTCATCTTCAGAAAACATACTACAATGTTTACAACATACGAAGGCTAAAAATATTCTTTAATAAATTATGCCTATAAATACATTCAGGAGATACAGAAATTAATACAATTGATATCATCTTTGAGTATATCTTTATTAAATGTGGATATCTTTAGGACAGAATACGTGACATATTAAATTATACTTTGCAATATATACCCAATCCTTGGCTACATACATGCAAAGTTGTCAGTTATAATAAAATATCTAATATGACACAATGGAATGTTTCTGGAATAAGATACATCATATAAATAAGAGAAAATATTTACATATTTATTTTATCTTCTACACAGTGTTCATTATTATAAAAATATTTTGCAAAACAGATTTAAACACAGTGTACTTTAATTGGTACAGGATTTCACTTTTGGTGGTGAATGTTTATCACAATTTCTTATCAAAGAGACTTGTTTTGAGAGACAAAACGTCTTGCTATTTTAGGAGAGCAAATGTTATGAATTGAAAAAAAAGAAAGAAAATTGACTACCTTTGATTAAGTCTGGCAATGAGGTCAGAACTGGGTCATATTTTTAACAAGAAAGAGATTCTATAGTAACCCCTTTCAATGAGCGAGTCTTAATATGAAGAAGGACTCTTCACCACTAAATTTTATACATAGTTTTTAGTCAAAGTTTCAAACTGTTTCCTTCATATGGTTGTTTGAGCATTTCTGAAAAACCTAAAAATTAATAGATTTCCTGAAAAAATAAATGTATACAAATGCCCTACAATTGGCTGTAAAGTGCTAAATTGGTGAGCTTATTTTATCTTTAAAGGTAAATTGTGTATAACAAACCTGAAATAGGATATTTGGACATGCAATATCAAGGATAAAAATTTTGAAAATTTCAGACTAGATTTCGTGATAAGAAAAGGTTTCTTGCAATATGTTATATTACACATAAATATAAAATAATCAGATGATTTGACTAAACGAGACATTGAAAAATTTGCTCCAATTGCACTTCATGGATATTTAGAGGGCAAAGTCCCTATGGAATGATTTTCAAGGCTAAACAATTCTACCAATAAAGGCTTGGGTGCAAGGCTATATACATAATGTATATTTTTTTAATCCTAAAAAAAATTTGCTTCTTACAAGTTCATTTATATAAATCATAGAATAAAAATACAGTTGTACGGCTACCCAATCAAACGATGGATGTTATGATTTCAGTAACCTGGGGTTCATTCACAGAAAAGTTATGATATTTTAGCAAGCCTTAACCTTACAGTAATTCAAAGGAAACACGCTTAAAACAATACCATATCAACCAAAACTGCAGGATTTACAAATGTAGATACAGTGTACCTAACATTCAATTTTACATAAATCCTTTGTAATTCACAATATTTTATTAATCTCAAACAAACACACAAAAATCTTTTGAACTTTTAAGTTTAACTTCAGTTTACAATCAATGAAATAATTATGCAAAGTGGAATGCCACAAAATATATCGATATGTCTTTTTTAAAATATATGCTATTGGACATGATGTTCCTAATGAATGAAGAAGAGTTCTCCAGTCCAGCTAGAGTTATGTCCCCCCGTTGTAGGCATAGTCGGCTTTGTTATGCATTATAAGCCTGTCCTCCACAAAATAAAAGCTGTCAGATCGGGTCTCAAATGGATGAGCAATCATGTCCTCCACTGAAAACAAAAAACAATCAATATTAAAATAAAAATAGGCGTTATCTTCAGGGAACAAGTCAGCGCATTACATTATCGTCATAAAAGTTTACAGAGGAATAACTTTCCATTGTAGTATTTCAAGGGAAGGAATACTAAAGTACAAAACAGCTTACAGCTAACATCCTTTCTGAATGCTTATTCCCATTTTTTTACTGTTTTATTATTTAAATACATGTATATATCTACACTTTACTTACATCACATGTTAAAATCAGCCATAAGAAAAAAAACAATTAGTTAAAAAAGAACTGATTATAAAACTGCCTGCCTTTATCAAAAGACTCAAAAACCAAATAACACTAGTCTTTACACACTTCACTGGTCTCTTTATAATGGGTAGTTTAAATGTACAGCTGATTTTGCTCCGTTTTCCACAGTTTAAATGTACAGCAAATTTTGGTTCGTTTTCCTTAGTGTAGCTACATATGTAATATATTTAAAAGAACAGATGAAGTTCATCTTTAAAATGCTCTTGCATATTTTTCCGAACTGCTTATGTTACCCATTTAGGCTCAATAGGGTCACCTTTTGTGAATAAACAATGGAATAAAAAAAAATCCCAGCACATTCTTTATTTATTTATTTTTTTAATTTTATGATCCCGTGGGGATCCGGGTTAGAATAGGTCCCCAGTACCCCCTTGCTTGTCATAAAAGGCGACTAAATGGGGCGGTCCTTCGGATGAGACCGTATAAACCGAGGCCCCATGTCACAGCAGGTGTGGCACGATAAAGATCCCTCCCTGCTCAATGGCCCTGAGTGCCGAGCATAGGCCCAAATTTGCAGCCCTTCACCGGCAATGGTGACATCTCCATATCAGTGAAATATTCTGGAGAGGGACGTTAAACAGCATATAATCAATCAATCAATCTTTATTTTATGTCTACTTTAAAATTCAACTAGGTTAACAAACATGTTAAAAAATGTATTTACCCTTATCTCTTTTTTTTAATCATCTTTTTAAAACAACTCAACAGCAGTGCATTAACCATGATTTGTATACCAGTAAATCTGTTTCTACGCGTGAGGCGATTTTATAAGAATTTGAAATGCTATTCTTAAACAAAATTTGAGATATTTCCCAAAAAATTCTGTTAAAAAAAGTACTTTAAGCTCTAATGTTGCTCCATCTTATACCCAGGAGCCAAAAATAGACAAAGTACAAAATAAATGCCATAAAAATGTTCACTTTTTCTTAATTACCTCCTCCTGAAAGAGGGCATGGCTTTCCATCCAAATAGTTTCATTTCAATTAACCAAATGGTTCTGGAGAAGATTTGAATACATGAAAAGTTTACAGAGACACGGGCTGAACAGAAAGATGGGACACTAGAAATTATTCCATCAAAAAATTTTTGGCACAGGTGAACTAAAAAGTGTTACTACAGTGTATTTAACCAACAAGAACTTATTTATTATTTTACCTTCATCTGGAGTAAGAACAGGAAATTCATAGATATGCTCGACTGTGTTTCTGCTATGTGGAATGCAAAATCCGAATTCAAAGTCAAAACTTTTCAGTAGTTTATCTCGGAAAAAATGTCGCTCAATCATTCGGAATTTATTCACTGGTTTGTCTCCAACAACAAATTCAACTCTGAAAAATAAATAACAAATAACCTGTCAAAACACCAATGTGCGCTTCATGATTGAATGCAAATTTTAAGAAAGAATAAGATAAGTAGTTGATATCTATAAACAATCCGAGTTGATCATCATTGGAACCAGTACAGGTCTGTCCATATGTCAAAACCACTCAATTAAATGTTTACAAACAGTACAATCTTAAAACTAAACTCTAACTCATGGGAGTAGGGTGTATAAGCACTAGTCAAGGACAAATTATTCATTTCCATTTTTTTGAGAACAAATTATTTAGTTCCAAAATCTGCCAGCATCCCCCCACCCCTCAGAATCAAATGATGATCTAATGTATATTAAATCTCAACTTTAACTTACGTTGCTCCAACTGTCTTGAGCTTTAAAAACTGTGGTGTAAACTGGTATCTTACAAATCTACCAGCATGAGGGTCAATATCTTCAGGTTCTGTATCCGACTCCCCATCCTCTGGAAATAAACACAAGATACTGGCTATATAGACCACAATGTACTAGACCTATAGCTATATAGAGCAGGATTTTTATTACAATCACATGTTTTTAATACTGTACAAACTTAATTCTTTTTCTTCCAAAAGACTGAAGTAAGCTTGCTTGCTTATTTTGATCAATTATGAGACAGAAATTAACATGGCAAACCTGGTGGTGGTGGTTTTGCCACTTCAAACAAGACGGCCCCAGATTCCATGTCCCTCAGCTTGAACCGTGTGAAGTCGATACCATAGATGTTTGCGTCAGGTGAACATAGATACTCTGTAAAGAATTTCCAGAATGATTAAATTTAAAATGGCACACCAAGGAAAAAAAAAAAATTCTTCCTTCTGGTTTAAATCAATACACTGGGCATGCATATAATGCAGTGCTGGGCATATCTAAGACTAACTGCATGGACAACAGAAATGAGTAAATTAATCTTCAAGCAGTGACAAGCACCAATTAACATTCACTGTGACACATCATTATCAGGGTTGACCAGGAAATACCAGAGGTGGGAATTACCTGTGAAAAATACCGTTAATTCCCGTCCCAGTAAATACTACAAATTTTATCCAAATTGGGAAATAAAGGGAAATATAAAATTTTTGATTTTATTTCTTCTAATTCATTTCATCTTTCACAAAATTCAGAAATGAAAGTCAAAATCATGCCCACATTCGCAGGATTTAAAAGGAAAGTTGAATGGTAGTTAATTGAATACCAATCCTGATCAGAATTCAGACGGAGAAAAAACAAATTAAAAAAAATTGAGGTGGGGGTAGAAAATTGGGGTGGGCGGGGATGAAAACCTGGAAATATTTTTAATATTGGCCTTACATGTAGGACCTTTTTTTTGTATCTGATCATGACAAAAACATATTCTAAAGTCTTCACTCTAATAAAACACATATGATATCTTCCATCGATTCCATTTCTCGTGTCCAACTCTTAAGATGATTACAAGTAATGCAACAAAAATTTCAATTTGACCCATTTCAGAATTACTGCCATTGTTATTTATTATGCCACTCAATACTGTCAAAATCAAAACATTAACTTTCAAAAATTGAAATGAATGCATCTTCACTCCATACAGCCTTTTCTACAGTAGATATCAAACACATGTACTGGCATTAACTTTGAAACCAAGATGCTTAAAAATAATGATTATCCATACTATATCTTTAAATTATCGATTTATTGACAACTCATCAGTGACATGTTATGACTCACATATGACAAAAGACGATCCCTGAAAAGACTGAATAGGGTAGATTTGGTACTACTGTAATCCATAAAATGGATAAATGTCTAACACAAGCTACTTTAAATACTAACTTTCTGTTATTTTATTTAGTCGAAGGACTTCCTCTGGGGTTACAGCGTCTTTCTTTAGTAATTCTTCCTCCGTGACAGAGTCAATGGTTTTATCCCTTGATTTTACCTGGCGTGTTAAAAAACCACCACTTTTCTTCTTACCGGTGGTTGTACTCATTTTGGTTATGCAAATGTCATACTTCAAAACACACACATGGTAGGAAAAATTGTTTTAAGCAATTTACAGCAGTAGGAAATTCGTAAACACAATAGCTGAACCTTTGGCGTCGTTTATTGTACAAGATGGCGACGATGGCAACGGGAACTCTGGGAAGCGGCAGGTGTCATGTAAAATGAGTGCTAGATCGTTTAGCACCCGGGTCGAAATATGGTACCTTTTTTTATGATCGTTAAATGGTGATCATCTCACTTTGACGCACATAAACATCAGTTACAATGATGAGCATAGTGATAATTTAATTTTTTAAGTATTTTTTTTTTAAATCATTTTTAGATCTATTTTTGATTAAGTACTGATTTTATTATAGGCCTATACAAGCAAAAAATATCTTTTTTTCAGTATTTCATAATTTGTATCTATGTGAGTGAGGATGCATGTGTATGTGTGTGCTTTTTTTTTTTTTTTTGAGGGGGGCCATACACAAACAGGATCCGTAGACCTAGAACATTCTAACCACCACCCTCCCTCCCCACTGACACACACACACACACCCTCACACACACACACACACCACCTCTTTTGAACAACAATCTATAGATGCCTACTGATGTAAATTATTTTGATGGGGCAACATGAAATCCTTTCCTGAAACCAAAACGCCACAGAAATAAAAACAAGGGGCCCAGGGGCCACAGCGCTCACCTGAGCACAACAGGCTTGAATTTACTCCCACCCAACCCCCCCCCCCCCCTCCAGGTGTTCATCATTTGAACAAACTAGAATCTTAACTACCTGAGGATGATTCCATATAAATAACACTAATCGTAGCTTTGAAGTACTTGAAAAGAAGATTTTAAAAGGTTTCCCTATATATCTCTATGTAAAACTAGGGTGGACCCTTTTGGCCACACCCTAGCCCCAGGGGTCATGATTTGAACAAACTTGAATCTACACTACCTGAGGATGATTCACATGAGTTTCATCTTTTCTGGCCCAGTGGTTCTTGAGAAGATTTTTAAAGATTTTTTCTATATATTCCTATGTAAAACTTGGGTCGGCCATTTTGGCCCAACCCTTTCGTGATTTGAACAAACTTGAATCTACACTACCTGAGGATGATTCCACATGAGTTTCATCTTTCCTGGCCCAGTGGTTCTTGAGAAGAAGATTTTTAAAGATTTTTCCTATATAATTCTATGTAAAACTTGGGTCGGCCATTTTGGCCCCACCCTTGCCCCGGAGGTCATGATTTGAACAAATTTGAATCTACACTACCTGAGGATAATTCCACATGAGTTTCACCTTTCCTGGCCCAGTGGTTCTTGAGAAGAAGATTTTTGAAGATTTTCCTATATATTCCTATGTAAAACTTGGGTCGGCCATTTTGGCCCCACCCTTGCACCGGGGGTCATGTTTTGAACAAACTTGAATCTACACTACCTGAGGATGAATCCACATGAGTTTCATCTTTCTTGGCCCAGTGGTTCTTGAGAAGAAGATTTTTAAAGATTTTTTCCTGTATATTCCTATGTAAAACTTGGGTCGGCCATTCTGGCCCCACCCTTGCCCCGGGGGTCATGATTTGAACAAACTTGAATCTACACTACCTGGGGATGATTTCACATGAATTTCACCTTTCCTGGCCAAGTGGTACTTGAGAAGAAGATTTTTTTTAAAATGCCATTAATTTTTCTCTAATTCATAATTATCTCCCCTTGAAAAAGGGCGTGGCCCTTCATTTGAACAAACTTGATTCCCCTTTACCCAAGGATACTTTGTGCCAAGTTTGATTAAAATTGGCCCAGTGGTTCTTGAGAAGAAGATGAAAATGTTAAAAGTTAACGACGACGACAACGACGACGACAACGACTACGACAACGACAGACAACGGACAAATTTTGATCAGAAAAGCTCACTTGAGCCTTTGGCTCAGGTGAGCTAAAAATTCAAACTCAGTTTTTTCAAAGTATAAATTTGAAAGTAGTCGGTTAAATGCTTCTTCCCCTTTTTTTCTTGTGTCATGCCAATGTATTACTGAAATTCAGGTTGTCCTTGGAAAAGTGCTTAATACCCTGAAGAAGACTGATTTTTGAGTTTTGTTTTGCTTGTCAAGGTATAAAGTTGTAATTTTTTTTTCTTGTTGCCCCCCCCCCTTTTTAAAAGATGTTTTGCATTTTGTTTCCAATTTTAGCACCTTTTTACTCCCTTTATGAATCCTGTTTACCTTTGTATATTATATCAATAGCTTGTCATACTAATTACTGAGTTTACCTTTGTTGTTGTTGAAAAGTGTTGCCAGGGTTATACAAAAAATATCTGTGACATTGGTTCAGTGCACTACTCCAGGGAGATCAAAGTGCTGATTTCAATAGTTCAATAAAACTTGGGAAAAAAGTAGACTTCACGATTTTTTTTTTTTTTTGGAGCCAATTCTTTTCTGTGTGTTTCTTTCTCCTTTGTTTACTGGACATGGTATCATAAATTAGTTTTAATTTTTGGGTGATGTTTTGAAAGGTCATGTCATGGTTACTAATAATAAAATATATGAAATTGTTTCAAAGCTAATCCGACTTTATAGGCTGATTCCAATAGGTACACCCTGTACACTATACCAAAATAAATAACTTTGTCTTCTCTCTCTTTTTTCTGTTTGTAAATAAACAAACTGCGTGAGAGTGAGACATGAAAATTTTGGCCCATTAAACCCTGACAAATCATATTTACTAGGAATTTGTAACTTTACACTATATGACCAAATATATATTCATTTTTTGGCCCTGAATACAAATAAAACAAGTTTTCATTGCTAAATTTTATTAGTGAAATGATGTTTGATTCTAGGAATTTTAAATATACTGATGTAAATACTCTGTAAAATACATTATATTTCTTAGTTTAAACTCTTAAAAATTTCTTCATCAGAGAGCAAACTATTTGCTTTAAAATCAAACAAGCTTTAATTTAATAACATTGTTGTATAATTATATACCGTAGAAAAGAAAGATAAATGCACACTAAAAAGATTTAAAATTCTCAACTTATTTGGGATTTTACTAAAACTGAAATCAATAAAATTAATTACATAAGTAATCCATCTTAATCTGCACTCTGGTGTTAGAAAATCAAATCAACAATTCTTTTCTAATATGCTTAATGTTACATCACTAAAGTAAATCACAGAAATTATAAACATCTAAACACATTTTTCATTTAAATTAATAAATTTAAACTCCCAAACAAAAACAAAAATAAAAATAAAACTTCACTTTAAACTGAAAAATTCAAGCAGAAATACAAAGTCAAAATATCACCAGAAAAAACATAATATATGCTTTAAAAGCTAAAAAGAAATATGTACAATGTGTTAACAGTCCAATGTGCATTTTCTGAGGAAGACTTATTTCGATGAAATGAAATGAAAATAAAACTGCATCTCAAAACTCTTTGAAACTCTAGACTTGATTTATATTTTTAACTCAGGACAACTGGCAGTGTGACAATGCCATCCTTGATCATTGATAAATCCAATATCATGCATGAATTCACATTTCTTTTTTTTACCACAGTAATGCTACCATCAATATCTTTTCATTTGTCATTGTTTGCCTCTTTTGAAAAATCAAAAAACCAAAAGATAAACAAGACAGTACATATATAAACAAAGAGGTAGTAGTCTATCATATTTTTCTAAATGTAGGAAGCAGATTTTTTCTATGTGCAAAAGATGCATTATAATGCAAATGTTCATGGGTACTGCAAAACACAGTGTATAATCAGACTGACTTAAGGATTTAACAGATTTAAATACAACTAAGAAGTATAAAAGTGGTAACAGGAAGTGTGAATGTGGTAACAGGAAGTATAGGTGTGGTAACAGGAAGTATGAGTGTGGTAACAGGAAGTGTGAGTGGTAACAGATTCTGAAAATAAAATCAAGTAAACGAAAGTATATGAATAAATGTGGTAAGGTAATGGGAGGTATACATGAGGTAAAATGAAAAATAAATTTGCTAACAGAAAGTATAAATGTAGCAACAGGAAGAATAATTGTGGTAAAAATTTAACTATGCATTTTTTTTACCACCTCATCACCTCCAAGTACAACCATAGGATGTCCTGAAAAAAATCCTAATAACTATATCAAATAAAACATAATTTATATATTTTTTTTTAATTCCAAATAATGCCACCAAATCTACCGGTAAGTATAAATTCAGTAAAATTTTTATTGAATGTTTATACTATAAAAGCCAAAATATTTCATGTGTATTAAAGTTTGTTTCTTTCATTATCAACTGTCATTGAGATTAATTATCATACAAAATTTTTATACACCTATATAATTATTGAATATAATTTTTACTTTCAAAACAACCAAATTTAATGCCCCCAAAATTTTTTGTATACAATAAAACAAAGGAATTTTATCCCCATAAAAAATTTTGCTTCTACAGTATTTAACTGCCTATGAACACTTCAATATGATACCAGTAAAGCTCAATGAACATGATTGTAAAAATATATTATTTCTCAATATTTATTGCACAATTCGACAGTAGCTTATTTAAATTTGATGAGTTCATTTTCAAAGACAACATAAACGGTGTACATAGTTGTCCAGCAAATGAAAACATCAAATAACATCATAAAAATAGCAATCCACTCTGTATATAAGAATGATTTTGACCAATTTTTTTAAAATCATCTGTACAGCTAATAAAAGGTGGTGATTCAATAAAATATATGTACATGTATAGATATACAAGATTGCATAGTTACAGTTGTAAATAACAATGAAGTAACTAAAAAAGAACATTTTTCAGTTTGAATTCTAGCCTGCCAACAGACTTGCTAAAAAGTATATATCCACCAATCGTAAAAAAAAAACCATAAAGGAGGTTTCTACAAAACTTCTTGTAATAAGAAGCTTAAAAATAGTGGTCAAATAATAAGGAGCACTTGGAGACACAAAATAACTGAATCAAATTAAAATAGCCACTAATAACAATGCTATACATTTCAAATACTAATTTAAGGAAATGTGGTTCCATTAGCACCCAATAGTCTGTCAAAAGAGTTCCGGTGACTTTCTAGGCGGTCCATTGAATTACGGGGAGAATTTCTCTCGGAGTTGTGACTGCTAGATGGGGGCAGAGGAGGGAGGGTTTTCTGTATTGGAGATTTCTCCCCCGTCAAAAACTTCTCCACCTTATCTACACAAGCATCCTGGTAATCGTGCACCCATCTGAAAAAATAGGAAGATTTGATTTTAATTCATGTACACGTATGCTAAATATCTGGTTATGAATAAAATTAAAAGATACAAATTAAAATGTCAATTTTTGAATCAATATACATCTTTCTTTATGACATTAATGTTATAAAAATTTTCTCTTTCATAATTGTTTTATTATTGTTAAAAAAAATGCTCCTTCATTATTGTTTCATTCTAGTTATAAAAATTTGCTCTTTCATTATTGTTTCACTATTGTTATAAAAATTTGCTCTTTCATTATTGTAATACAGTATCTCTGTTTGAAATTGGCATTTACTTCAGATAAAAAACAATGACATTTCATTAAATCTTAACAATATTTTATTTTTCTTAAAAAAACATGATTTACTAAGAAAAAAACATGATTTACTAAGAAAAAAACATACAGAAGGTAAAATCCACTCCATTTGTAACAATAACTTAATTAGTTTGAAATAATGACAATGACATTTATACTGCTAATTAACCCTTTCTCACTCTACATTCATAGTTTTGCACCGGTCAACAGTGACATATAAAACAAAAACCACATAAAAATTAATTGTTGAAACCTTTTCATAGGTAAATTTTAAAATGTTACCTGTGTAAAACATTAAACAGCACTATCTGTCAAAACTCAACAGAATGTCATGAGATACACAGAAAGTAATTAATTATGTTTGTCATTTTTTAAGACTGCATCACTAAATGGTCAAAAAAAGCAATAAATCTTTTTTTTACTATCCATAAAAGCAAAAGGATCTCATTTCATTTCCAAAATGTTATGACTTGTCAACAAAAAATTTACTTTTCTTCAAATTTTGAATTCTTTTATTATCATAATAATATTTCACTTCTACTATTAAATAACTGCTAAATTATTCCCTCTACTTGTTAAGTAAAAACATATTGACCTTTTGCTCATCACAAAGAAATACAAGTAGGAGTTTTGTATACAGTAAATGTGCAAAAGTCAGTTGCATTTTAAAATAATATTGAATGGAGCTATACAGATTCAAATTACATTTTACAAATCTTGTTTCCAGAATGTTTTTACATCTGGTGTCAATTTATTTAACAGTTGACTAGAATTCATTTGATTGAAACATGCATATTAAATGTGATATCAAAATATATATATACAAATTAGTGTATTTCCTTCATTTTTACCTAGGACATACATTGTTCACAGCACTTAGATGATTTTTTTTTTTTCAGAATAGAACTTAGGTATTAAACCGTATACATCTCTTTTGGGTGATAAGACTGTTCCTTCTGACTTAAATCTGACTTAAATTTGACTTAAATCTGAGAGGAAGTACAAAAAATGCCTCTGTCTCATTTGTAATATCATAAGTACAGGGACTGTTAATAAGGGACCATTTCAAAACTCTTTTTACAATTCAATAACAATTTTTGCAAAAGTTCTAAAAAACTTTTTCACAAGAGAAAACAGATCTCTTGATTGTCATAAAAAATCAGATCAATACATGTACAAATATTTAAAGATAAAATACCTCAGGTATCAAAAAGAAAGCAAATAAGGCTCAAATGTACAAAGCAGTTGCATTGGATGCAAGATATTTTTGTATATTTGTCAATATGCATTTTATATATGATATTGCATCATTAAGTTGCATATCATAATCCATTTTTATATAAAGACAAAAACAATATACATGTATGTGACACAATATTTACAAGTACATATAAATAGTATAAGCTAACTGATAAGTCAAGTCAAGCACAGGTAGCATTGCTATCAAAAATGTCTGTCAAAAGACTATAAGAAAGGGAAGGTTCTGGGCAAGAACTTTTCTGATTAAGATCATAAATAATTATCTATGCTAAAAAAAGACTAGCACTACAAAGAAAACAAAAACCAGCTCATAATCGAGAGAGAGAGAGAGAGAGAGAGAGAGAGAGAGAGAGAACATCCCCTACCAAAATAAAATGGTTTGGTAACAATGATTAATAAATCAAACACAAACACACAAAATTCAAACTAAGAATATTGTAAAGTCTTTCACTGAAAAACTGATTTCAATAGCCTTTAAAAAACTAAAAATAAAAAAAGATGTTTTGGTCCATTAAATTACTATACAGAGAAAAAAAATGATTGAGATAAATTGTAGAAACAAATCAAAATGCCTTAAAGTTAAAGTGCTAATAAAGAAAAAAAAAAGAATTTGGTAACATAATTGGTTTAAATGGTTGGACATTTTTTTTTAATTTGTAAACACATAACAGGAAAGCCATTCTTTTTAATTTTTGAGTCTCATTAAATCAATCCAGAATGTTATGAATCTGATGATATGAAGATTGAGGTATTATTGGTCTAATTACCCTGAAAATAAAGTTCAATCACAAAAGTGTGAAGAAAACATAAGACCTTAAGGTCAGAGATCATAGGTCAAAAAGGGGGGAGGAATTTGATGATTATCTTTGTTCTGAACTTTGACCTTGCATACATTTTATGCTAAAAATTTGCATACAAACTTCAATCAAGTGTTCAAACATTAAATCTGTGCTGACACAAATCAGAAAATACACACAAACTTAACAATTCAAGATCATTACTGAAAAAAATACACATGTAGTTCTATAATTATAAATTTTCTACGATAGAAGATATGGTTTCCATGAGAGCCGAGGATCGTTTACGCGAGTCCTTCCTCTCGCCGCTTTTCCTCCTCATCACGATCTCTTCCTGTGCCAGGACTTCGTCCACCGTCAGGGCAGACGTCAGGCTGTCGCATTCTGACGCCGGTCTCTCCACGATGGTGGGAAGCTCCACAGACTTCAAGCGAGCAATGGGGACTTTTTTGAGGAATGTTTCAAGCTTAGCCATGCAAGCCTCTTGGTAGTCGTGCACCCATCTACAGCAGTAAATGACAAAAGCATGACAGGACCATCTGTAAGAGGGGCGTGTCCCATAAAATCGGGAACATTTATCTCGCAGACTTAATAATCTTGTCTTTTATAAATGTTAAGTATGTGTCATTATATATTAACAGTTCACCAGATATGTAAAATACATTTGTTGTGCATGAATAACTTTGTATAATCATATAAAAGCTACTAGTCTAATTAAAAAAGGTGAGTAATTAAGCAGATTGCAAATAGAGTGAAAAGTACGTTTCAGGATAATTTGGAACGTACGATTTTGAAATTTTTTTTAGCAACATATAATAAACAGCCAAATTAATCTTTAATCTTAGCGGTAAAATTATAAATAAACATTCATCAATCACTTATAGCATTAAGTCTAAATAAAGAAAGGTAGAAATAACATGTTTATTTTGAAGAGCCATTCATGCAAATTTATAATGCCAAAAGTTAAGAAAGTTCATCAACTCCTTAAAGTAACTGGGTCAGCCCATTTATTTAGATAGAGATAAGAAAATGACACAGCTGTGGGTGACAACATAGATTTTGGGTGTTGTTTTTTTTTTGGTTTCTCTTACAGATGATCACATACAGCCTTTCTATCATGCTTTAGGAGGAGGTTATATTGGTACATACATGTAAATATAGTTGCTCTTGGTAGTCAGTAGAAATAAGCATGCATTATCTAAGCTATCTACATCCATTTAAAAGGGAGAGCTTTCATTCAAGTGTTTGTTACCCTTGGCAAACCTTTCCATATAAATATTCATCAATTTAAAATGTTAATCTGTACTTTTAATTCTAAAACATCAATAAAAGCTTTTAAAAATATACATTTTACCCTCGTTAGTGCTATAGGTCATAAGCGGGTGCTATTTATATATATCTTACACTTCTTTCAATAACTGCATGCATGTACTGCTTGATATGAAATTAGTGCAGTTCTGGGTATTCTAGCCACCTTCAATCATTAATGCTATAGCGAGGTGTGGACACTAATACTGGACACTAACCTGACTCCGTTGAAATACACGACCTGCTGCATGTCACTGGGCAGTACCTCGGGCAGCGGCCAATCAAAATTGTCCAGCACAGGGATAATATTACAGTCACTATCCAAGGCTGTCACGATCTCCTAAAATTTATCATCAATTATAAGAAAAGGGTCTTAAAATGATAAATAATTTTATAATGCAATAATCCATCACCCTTTATGAATTAATACAACAGATTCTCTCAGTTTGCTCTTTGTATATATGTGTATATATGAGTCATATAGAGGCACAGGGTGCAAAAAGGAAACAAAGAATTGAAAGAAATATGAAACTTAAGGGAGTTCTAGGTGATTTTTTATTTTAATATTTAAGAACAATATGATGGACAATGATTATTTTATGAATAAACCCAGATGATGGATTGCTGAGCAAGCAATATGTCTTAATCTTGATTTATGAATAAACATTTCTAACGATATCTCACCTTTGACAACTTACACCTGAACGATTTATAGGTCATGTGTGAATCATTGCTCACCTTATGAATCCAGTCTTGTTGTTCGTCGTCACCGATACATCTATCCAAGGCACTTGGGGTCAGAACTAAGAGAAAATGTTTAGCTAATCGAATATTCATCAACAGATTTTCATCAAACTTTCCAGCACGAAGTCTGTCAATATCTAGAAACACGGAAAATCCTCGAAGTTGTAAATGAACCTTTAGTAAGCTACAAAAAAAAAATGAAGTGCATCAAGATTAATGAAATGTGATTGTAGATATATTTTAGGATATAATTATAAACAACAATTAATAAATAATCTACTTTTGAAAATCTACGCTTGCACACTTTTGAAAAAATCTTACTGGTACAAGGATGCGTGCATCAGAAATAAGCAAAAAGGTAAATTCCTCACTAGCTAGTATTCATTTTAACTTTTTTAAAAAGATGAACTCTTCAAAATATAATTTAAAAACTCTCATTAAAATTTTCCATTTTTAAAAAAAATTAAATTGTCTTTTACCTGGCTAGTTGAGATCCGTTTGACCTCCTGTAACTGATGAACACATCCACTGCCTTTGGGTAGGATGCAAATCCTGTAGGATCTATACTCTTCTGCCTGGTCAGGCTGCCTATACTGCCATACTTAGGTAAAGGTATAGCTGTGTATAAATCTGAAAAGGAATCACAAAACATGAATGAAAATTAATTTAATGTTTCAAAATTTTTTCTAACAATTTTACATGTATTTTCATTTTCTTATTTTTATGCAAGTTAAAAATGCATCTTCTGCTCTTTTAATTTACTCCTTTTTTTTTTTAATTTTGCACTTTTTATAAGTAATTGCCTATACTGTCCTATTCCTTTTTAATTCACTTCACATTCTTCATGTAATGTTTAATGACTTAATCTAAAAATAGCATTTTTATCACAAATTAAACAAAATCTTTTTAGCTCTACCTTCTACATGTTCTAAGATGAGACGACGATGAATGCCATTTTTGATTCCGCACACTCCTTCTAATTCTTCGTTGTTCGTGGAGGCCAAGACCTCTTTGTTCATGCCGGCTTTGAGCATTTCGTAGGTATACTGAGACAGATCAGGGAGAACTTTCATAAGCCAAGCATCCATCTGAGATGGATCACATGAAGAATAGTCAGCTGTGATCTTTAAAGACTTTAATTCTCGTAAAAATCTGCAAGACAAAAGAGGGAAACATTTCCAAATAAAATTACCATTTATAACCCAAAAACACTTTGTACCAAATTCAAAAATTATCATTCACAATGCAAGAAAACATGCTCTGTTACCAGTAATGAAAATTTACCTTTTTCTGGCAATTTTGCATTCAATTTTAATACTGCTCTCTAACTCCTGCTCGGTCAATAAAAGCAGTAAATCCCCATCAACCTGGCAGTCCTTAAAGTTCTGTACATATTCCTTAAACCCCACCTACAAAATGTAAATAACATGTCAAACTCAATCTCATTTCTTCACACTGTCTGAATCCCATGGTTTCATGTGTGTCCTTGAGAAAAGATGTTCAATAAAACAAAATTATAACTTTCACTGCATACACAATCTAACTTTGATAAAAGTGTACCAATATTTTATTATATCCATCAAGTTTTCAATTACAATATATTTTAAATGATATAAATGCATTGAGAACAAAAATCACTTCACAATAAGCATCAAATTGCCATAACTGCATTATAAGAGTGTTCATTAAGAGCATGTTTTCCAATACTGACCTGTGCCACCCAGTGCATGACATCCACCACGTTCCAGACAGGGACTTGTGTGGTTAACTTGTGGGGGATGCTCTCCCCTATGACTTTTAGAGCCTGGGCGGCAAGTTTGGAAGCTGTGGCATTGGGACTACTGGCAACTTTCTTCAGAGGTTCTATTGCACCAATTTCATAAAAGAGCTAAAAAATTAAAAACATAGTTACAAGCATATTCATATACAGCAGAGCTGACATTTCCTTTTGTCAGACACTATAAAATTATTTAATGTCATTAAAAAAAAAGGAACTTCAGTGAACTTACATCAAGTTTTCCTTGTTCTTCTTTGATCCCTGCTTCCATTGCAAAATGGAAAGCAGCAAGGCTCTGAGCCTCTTCTTTCCTGCTTAGAAGAAGAGGAACCAGTCTCTCTAACCACATGTGGTCCTTCCCCTGTTGCTGAGAGGCATCACTTTTGGCAAATGAAGAGGGCTTTGTGGAGTTAATGAAGGGCATCACTAATTCTAAGGTGCCTGACTTTATCACTGCAGCCTCTAGTTCTTTATTTGCCAGTAAGACAACAATGGCCAGACATGCATAGTACTTAATGGTATCGTCTTCCATGAAAGCCAAAGGAAATAACCATTCTGGGACATTTCTCTTGGCCATCTCTTCCTGGTTTTCAGCTCCTCCAAACAATGACAGATTGGCTAAGGCTTTAGCACAGTGCCTGAGATTTCTAATGTCACTCGACCTTGACCAATGTAAAATGACATCCAAACCTCCAAAGTTAATGATTTTTGTGGAAGCCTCCTCAGAAATTTTGAACAATCCTTCTAAAATTCCTGTGATAATGTAAGACATCTCATGATTGGCGATTTCTCTTTTGGTCATTGTTACAACTATTTCGAGTCCCGTTTTCGCAACATGATTTCGATTCTCCCAGGAAAGACACTGTTCTAACACAGAGGCTGATGCCTTCAAAAGGTCCTTGTTATTTGAGTTGCAGTTTACTATCAGCATGTCCAATATGCCTTCACTCCTTAAAGCATCACAAAGACGATACGCAATGTCCCTTCCAAACATGGGAACCTGCCATGCCTCCACTAAAACATTCTTTATCCTGTCTAAATGCCTAACTTCATGCCTAAGTTTAGCAGCCCTCAGTGGTTTGATGTGATTTTCTAGTTCTTGTGACAATTTTTGGTAACTGACTTTCACATTGGTCTGGTTGAGCCGACTTGTGTCAGAGTCTGTCACTGTTGAGAGGATCAGTGGGTACTTATCACAGTACTGCACACAGCAAAGTTCGGGTTCAATCCTATCCTCAGTAGACACAAGGCTCTCCAGATCATCAGACGAAAACCTGCTTTCTGAGGCTGACAATAAAGACTCTTTAGAATTGTGGTTACAGATTGTTGAATTTTCATCCTGAGCGATGGTTTCTAACATATCAACCGAGTTTCTTTTTTCTTTCTTGGAGTAGCTTCCCGATTCATTTTCTTCCGACTCAATGCTGGAGAGATCGAAGAAGACTTTGGAGCTTTCGGAGACTTTGGATGACTGTTCCTTCCTCTCTGTTCTGGAGCTTGTGAACTTTCTGCTCCCTGACACAGAACTTGTGGAGTGGAACTTGACGAAGCTGGCATCTGACTGAGATCTGTCAATCAACTTATCAGGGTCAAAGTTCTTGGTAACAAATTCTTTGACAATTTTGGATTTCGTTTTTGGTCCATCATCTGAATCGTCAGACATTTCTTGTAGCTGTGCCCTGAAAAATAAATTGTAGACTTGCACTGAATATTTTTTAAAGGTAAATAAAAATATCATCAAAAAAATTAAGTCACTCCCCTACCAGTCTACAATGATTCATTCACCATAGTACAAATCTTTAAATTCAACATAGGAAATCTTGTTTAAAGTTTGATTCTTTACCCCTGGCAAATTCCCATCCTCAAAAAAAATGTTCACATCCAAATAATAATCAAATTTTGGGTTTGCTGGATTACATTTGAATTGTTTATCTAACTATTAATAAATTAAAAAACACACACTATCGTTGTTAATAAATAAAATCCTTGAAAACAAATAATTAATTTTAAATTTGGCACCTATATTTCAGACTTCTCCAACAAATAGAATCTGTAAAATCAAGCTGACAAGTACTTCCTTCCTGGAAGTTTAAAGGTGCAGATAGGGTTGCATATGTATACACCTTTGATTTACAAGCAATCTTCACATCAACTCAAAGCCTAAGGCTAAAATAGCACAACCAACTCTTAAAACAAGACATACAATCCATTCTGATTGCCTCAACAGATTAATTTCATGTCTTTCTTTTGAAATGGAGTTGTATACATAGCCTTGAAAATAAATTTTAAAACAAAGTCAATATATAACTGTTAATCAGTTATTACTCATTTCTCTACCAGATAAACCAATACAACATTATTCTCTCTGCATTAAGTGCCATGTACCCAATGACATTCATGTAAAGCATGTATCCTGCACCTGCTGGACACATTGAATCATTCTCAAATGGGAGCCATGGTTAATTTTTTAACTTTCTCGCGTACATATGATTACATAACTTAGTAATCTAAGCAATCCCCTGAAAAAATCTTCTCAACTTAGTTAGCATGAATCAGTCAAGTCTCCGAGTATGCAGATAATCTGATTCACCAATTAATACACAAAGTACTTGGTGATTGATGAAGTACTTACAAAAGATGGCAGGATTTAATCCTTTCTAACAGTTTTGTAAACTTCATTACACCATATGCGCTGCTGACCTGTTTGCTACTCTTACCACAATGAGCAGTGATTAATCATGGTTAGTTGACAAAAGTACGATATATATACATGTATATATATTATATTCGAAAGGTAAAATACAGGTGAATTTAATTTTCAGTGTCAATGAATAAAGTGATTGATCTCAAACAATACGCAATTTATAACTGTAGATCATCCTTCCAATCAAATGTATCTAAATCCAGTAAATAAAGTGTTATGTTTTCGATAATATATTCAATAATCGCGTCACTGATTTTTTTTTCTCTCCAGTTCCATGCATAAAAACAGGCGTAAATCAAGAACTGTCAAATTCAAGTCAGAGAAAAAGCTGCATCTGAAAGTCATCTACCATGTCTACAGTTGTATTCAAATCCATTGTAATCTAGGCAGAACTAGCATGTCTCAAAAGATTTAATAACAAGATGGTAAAATGAATTCAAAATAATTTAATGGGTTTTAAATCTAATAGTCTTTAAGAACCATGTTTTTCGAGAGTGCAGGTATAAAATTCTAAAAATAGAAAAATTCTAATAATTACTTGGTAATGCTGTGAATGAATTAGTAAAAGTACTGAACTAAAACTATAATTATAACTTACCCCGTAGGTGTCTTAATTTGCATCCCTAATGTACTATAATTCTCCTATTGACAAAAAAGTGGGATATCTCTAATCTTATATATACCCCTCACTCCCCCACATGAAACACTAATACACCTTGTGATTTTATGAATGAACAGTATGAAATGAAATGCTTTTTCACTGTTCCCAAGATTTTCTAATGGTGTTTCCCCCGTACACCTTAATTGCAATCTGATCTTTTGTTAACAATGTGTACCATCTGAGGAAGGTCTTTCACTGTCATGCCTAGGCCAACAGGTATGAGGAAATAGGTTTACAGCCATACAGCTTTAACGCAATGCTGACGCACAAAAAACACATATGGCCACCTGACGTTTTTCTTCACTGGAGACATATTTCATTCACTTGAAGCAGATTTACCTATGTCAATTTATTGAATACCTTGAATTTTCCCCCATCAATTCATGAGGGAAGTCAAGTGAGAAAAATTGAAGACAAGCTTCAAGAAATTCATCATAACAGAATCTGACTCATGTTATTTCATTAATTTTGTTCTTTTTGAAAGACTTGATTAGCAGAACATGTAAATGTAATATCTTATTAATGAAAGTACTTAATTATGTTACACTAAATGCATATGACATATATTCTTCATTTTTTGTGGACAATTAACAATTTTTGTTTTCTTTTAAAATGCTTAAACCTACAAAAACAGTTTGATCATCACCTAGCTATTTAGTATAAAATTCTTTCTGTATTCTCTTGTACACAAGAAATATGGGGCTTATTCTCTGTAACATTTCTTAACAAAACACCTGCAAAATTTTGTAACATGTAATTTATTTTATAGACAGAGCAGTTATAGTTCATATCTATATAAATTACTCTCACTGAATATTTGCCAAAGATCATAGAGGAAAAAAAACCTATATACTGGTTGACAATAAGCTTCTGACACTTCAGTTGTCTACCAGACATAAGTATCACATGATGGCACCCAACTTTTCCAAAAATACATAATTTCCCTGGATGACGAACATGAAGATTGCATGATCTTTACCTTACCACTTAATTACATTTTATTTTCCATATAAGCTCTGAAAATCTTAATTTAGATTATGCAGTCTAATAATAGATTTTATTATGTTTATAATGATGAATGTTTTGGTTTTACAACATGTACATGTACTTTTTGCCCTCCTCTTCAGACATGCCTGATGCAATAAACCTTACTCTTTCATTACTTTCTTATGCATTCAAATTACACATTAAAAATAAATTAAACTAAATGATGAAGCATTATTAAATAAAGAGCATAAAGGGCAACGTAAATGGAGAAAAAAATCATTTCAAGCATTCTGAGAGGGTAAGGGTCAGATAAATGCCTTAATCTCTCTTAAAATATAATTATCATATTTTGAGTAATAGTTAATCAATCTTCAATAATTGTCAATCAAAAATGTCTTTATGGTCCATATAGTAACTCACCATGGAGGAAGATAACTATATAAAGCCCGAAGATACCAGTTTGCGGCTTAACATGACCACCATAATTACATTGCTGACCTGCATGTTCTTACAACCTGAGAGAGTTAATTCTTAAAGGAATGATTTATTCAATACTGTCAAACCTGACATGTTCAACTTGACTAAATTAATTTAACATATAACATTGCACATGACAACACTAAGGAAAATGAAATGTTATATTAAGTAATAAAAATTTTACCAAGTACTTTACCTTTTCCCCATCTTAAAACTTCCGTTGTAAAATGACAATTGTACAGATGTTTTTTTCAGTTAAAATATCAGATCCATTTCAATGTCTCGCTCTTGAACTGAATATATGAATTAATTCAGGGGATAATAAAGGGGAAAGCAAATCATGCTTACTGTTTGATTAATAGCTTCCTATGTGATGATAATGCCGTAGGGCATGGCACCTTTACTCCGTTACAAAAATGCAAACGTGCTTTTATCTTATATGAGTCATTCCATAACCATGTGCAATATTCACATCACAAGATGAAGATAGTTCAAGATACTGATGATAAAAAGCCATTATTTTCAGAACCAACTCGATTCCCAATTTAGTTTCCTGTTCTTATATCACTGTATTTATCCTACGTTTCATTCAAATATAGCTTAAAATGTTGGAATGACCCATATAATGGCATATTATGACAAATGTAAACACTCATGCCGATTGAGATTCTTATCATCCACTCTATCTATAATCAAAACTTAAACATTACATATGTATTTTAATTAAAATAAATCGACTATAATTCAAATTACCTCAAATCTTTTTGAAAAATTCTGCAGCTTTGTAAATAATAAAATGAAATAAATATTAAAATATAAAAACGTAAAAGATCGTGATAAAACTTTCTTATCTCTCTTTGCTTCGGATTTTTTATATACCGAGCCCGATCACTAATTTTTTCAACCATGGTAAACATGGAATAAATGAGCTATGGACGCAAAATTAATTTTAAATTTTTTATCACAAAACCACTTAACTTAAGCTAGTGTGGTTAACTATCACTGGTATTCGGCTCCCTTGTGGTTCCATACCCCCAATTATCATCGAGTTCGAAATGCGGATAATATTTACATGTAAACAAATTAACCAACTTCTCAAAGGTCTAAACTAAAGGTTTCCACCTTCTTTTTATTTACCGCAATTTATTTCATAACTAACTGTTCTAAATATATATCATTTATGTTGTTTTCCCCCAAATTTTTAAATAACATCCTTGCGCCCCGAAGAGGGCAACACGAGTCCGGAATAAAAAGGTAAGCTGCAAGTTATACATCACATGTAACAAGTTTCATGCACAGCTGGTGTCAGCTGTTCCATATAACAAATGTTGAACACTACCATCGTCTACAGGTTGTCAGAGGTAGGCAGGGTTAGCTATAAAAGCTTTTTTTGAAAAAAATGAAACCTGCTGATTCTGTCCTCATAAAGTTTTTTTTTTTTTGATTTTTTAAAACAGTATAAATCTCTGATTCTCAGTATTGCATGTGTAATTTTAAAACCTTTTTTATAATGATATTGATGAGGAGAATACTTTCTTCCCATTCTCCTTCCTTCAAAGGTAGCAAAGTACACCATTTAAATTACTCCAGACATATATTATAAATTCAGTATATTTATACGTATAGATGTAGCAATTGAATAAAGTAGATGTTTCAGAATTATAAATTCAGTATATTTATACGTATAGATGTAGCAATTGAATAAAGTAGATGTTTCAGAAAGGTTCAAACGTGGCTAGATAACTCAGATAGGAGAGCACCTGACTTGTGATTCAGTGGACTCAGGTTTGAATCCTGGTCAGTGGCGGATCCAGGAATCTTGAAAAGGGGGGCCCGAAATTATTTATTATATTTTATGCATATTTTTGGACATAAAAGCCCCCCTTCTAAATCCATCAGTAGACATGTTCCAATGTTCATGCACTTACAAAATACACCAGACAAGTATACAGTATGGATATACTCAGAAAAAATAAAGGAAGGAATATGAATAAATAAACAAACTGTTAGTTTAAATGTAAAGTGAGCCATTTCTATAATGTTAATGTACACATGTGCAATACTATTACAGGGCAAGATATGCTTTGGTAGAGAGATGGTACTACCAGGATGGTTATAAGAGTGTACAATCTCCACGACAACCAGTCACTCAGCCTTCACCTTCCTTTATTGATTGGTGATATCGACTCCACCACATCAGATGGGTCCATCATAGTTATCAACACCTCAGTCCAGCCTTGTCAGCCAATCAAATGGCCAGTTGTGGAGGGAGCCTTCAAAGTACTGGTCGAGTTAAAAGTCGGAGAAAATGTCATCCGCCTCATTCATGAATCCCAGGTTTTAGTTCTGACCCTCAATCGCTACATTCCAGAGATTCCTCTCTTCGTTAGACCTGTGTATATAATTTGTAGTGATGACGATGGGAATTTTCAAGGTCCCGAGGATGAAGACTGTTCTGTACTTAGTGCAGTAGACAGGGTGACACTGGCTGCTATGCTAGTCCAAACTTTTACAGCAGAAAAATTAAACGAACATGGGTTTGGTTATAAAACTTTTCAGCTTGAAATGGATCAAGAGTATGAGCCATTCTGCCATATTTTCAGAAGTCAGTTGACTTTAGAGAAAGCTCAATCCATGACAGGAAATGAACTTTGGACACATTTTGCTAAAGAATTAATGATGTCTAATTTTACTCAGAAAGATTGTTGTAAATGGTTTTGTTTTATGTCTTTTACTCGATATTCTCTACCAGAAAACTCTGAACCTCCAAGATCTCATGGGGATATCCTGAAACACACAAAAGGCCATGCTGCTCTTGGTAATATATTCTCTTTATAATACCATATTAATGGAAGCAAAATGCAAATTCAATGATTTATCCCAAAACAAATGATATATGCGTCTTTAGCAGGAAGTAATTTTAGCAATTTTATAATGTCAAGGAAAAGAGCTATTACAGCCAGTATGAAACAGATTGATTGTTAGCAATCACCAATACAAATGTAATGCCAAAATTGAATCCTCGCTAATGATTCTGTTTTTAAGGTACTTTTGTGAGACTTAACATATATAGTTTTTAGTTTAAAGTGATGATCAGGGAAATTATTTTTGATGATATTTACATTAACAGGTGGGGGAGGCCTGGCCTTGTTTGGTACTGGTAACTTACACACCTGGGCCAGGAGTATTTCAGAAATACATCAAAGATTTACAGATGTTCGTAAAATTGACAGGAAGAAATATATGGATGATAGTGCATACAGGTAACATCTCACTTCTCTTCACTCACATTATTAAAATTCTCAATTTTAAAAGCAAAATTGTAACTTCCTCTGTAAGGTTCATTGACCCTCTCATAAGAGAGATAACTCTTGTTGGAATTGATTCATATGATTTCTTCAGAAAGATTTGTACACTTTATATGTGAAGAGAGGCCAGAGGGATGAACCTTAAGCAGTTTAAGCCTTTATTATGCTAACATTGTTTCAATAAACTTATTCTACAGGGAGTACCACTGGGCCAACTATGCCACAGGCCTGGGGGCAGCTTTACACGAGTTGGGACACACTTTTGACCTGGCTCATACTCCCTCTGGGGTCATGGCTCGAGGCTTTGATGACATCAATAGGGTCTTCATTGTACAGCGGTACAAGTCTAAACAACGGTCAACTCAGGAACGAAGCATTAGTGAGGACAGAAGTAGTGTCTGCAGCATAGAGTCCGGCAAATGCACAGAATCAAAAGCAGCATATACAACAAATTCTACAAGTTATCAAAATCCAGTCAAAAAAGTAAACACCTCTCTGAACAAGAAATTTGTAAAAAAAAAAAAAAAACCCTCCAATGTCTAACTTTACCTTAAGTGAGGATAATCAACCCAAATTATGCTAAATGATTCATTTTCCGCTGAGAAATTGGATAATAGACAAGTTTCATTATCATTTTCTTCAAATTTTGGCAGCCTTTTGATATGATTCTAGATGATTTTAATCACTGTACAGGGGGCCCTTATTTCCTGACAGATGAAAAAGACCTAGGGGGCGCTTATAGGGACAGGGGCGGTTATGGGATTATACGGGACTTCATATTGTTTTGCAGCTGTTGGTCAATCAGTATGGCTATCAGTAGCTCAAATTTGGTTGGCTCAATTGATACCCAGCCCTAGAATCATTATATAAAAACATGTTGATTGAAGACAAAGATGTTCATAACATGTATGTAATACATCTGCATTTCAGTTACTGTAAACCAACTTTTATTCGCGTGCGATCTGTAATAATAATATTTATCGCCGCGAACTATTTTCCTATTATGCTTGATCGAAAATTAATCGTTTTATCCCCGGTATCGCGAAATAAGTAATAAAAGTTGGTTTACAGTATATCTGTAATAATAATGACTAACTATCATTATGAGAATGTTTTAATTAAGTATATTTACATGATCAAAATGACATGCATGATTGATTTTTTCAACTGTTTCAGTACAATAAAATGGAGACTAAATGCTACATTGCCCCACCACCATTAGTTGTTAATGTAGAGTCAAATTTCAAGCCCTTAGTTCCTACAAGTTTGACGTTCAGTTCTCGGAATTATGACGGAACAGAAAGGCACCAGATGATATCGGACCAGATAGGATGTGAGATCATCACTGACTTGTTATTAGGAGTGGATGGTAGAGTGCTGGCTAAAACTCAGTGTAGAAGGGGTAATTACATGCTACATAAATTTAAATACTAGTGCAGTGATTCAAATAATTTTTTCGAAAAAATCATATTTTCTTATTATCTTAGAATCATAGATTGTTAAGCTTGGATTTTTTTTTACATTAATCTAAATGATTGCTGCTAAACTACATTTAATGACTAAAATACTTTATGTAAATTCAGATATTTACCTCAAAGTTTATTTATTGAGTTAAACTTCAGCATGGCATGTTTGCTGTTTGCAGAGATCTAAATGTTCAGTGATTAATAAGCTTAGTTATATATACCAGTCCACATTTTATTTAGTTTTTTATTTACATTTTTTGTTAACTATTTTGATACCATTTTATTTACCAGAGAAGAGCAGTTCCTGTTCCTCAGTAAGCTCTGCCTCCTCCCCACCTTCACCCCTCTCTACTACACCTCTGACCCTCCCCAACTCTCCCGAAGAGCCACCCACTCAACAGCTGTCATTTACAGATGGTGGTGCCCACTGGTACCGCTCCTCAGCCGTGCTGCTCTACTTTCACAGGTACTGGCTTCAACTGGTCATTATAAATTACTGTAATTCTTAAATATTC